ACACAAAGACATAGGCAATAACTTCCTAAATAGAACTAAACAGTACTCCAGTGGTTTAGCAATTAAGAAAAAGGATTGACAAATGGAACTAAATGAAACTAACAAGATTCTACACAGCAAAGGAAATTGTCACCAGACTTGAGGCAGCCCACAGAACAGAAGAAAATCTTTGCCAGCTAAATATCTGACAAGGGATTAATAAGCAAATATATAGGGAGCTCAAAAAACTAAACTCCCCAAAAATCAATGACCCAGTGAAGAAATGGGCAAAGCAACTGAACAGACATTTTTGAAAAGAAGAAGTTATAGGATACTAAGGGAGGAGGAAAAGCAGAAAAGGATGATAGAGAATGAATAATATTGAAATATATCACATCTCTGTAGTAATACAGGGTAAAGGATAGGGAAAGGAAAAGGGTAAGGAAGAATAAAAAAAGGGAGTAGGACTGATTATAGTTCAATATATTTAGAGGTAAAATACCAAGTCAAAGCCCCACTGAATAATGAATAGATGCTTAAACAATGGACAGGAATGTAAGACTGGTCATGTTGAGGAGTGGGGTAGTGGGAGAGGGAATTTAAATGAAGAGGGTAAAGGAGGGTGAATATGGTTGAGGTACTTTCTGTATATGTATGACTATGGAACACTGAAACCCTTTGAAGTCTTTCAAGAAGGAGAGTGGAGGAAGAGAATAATGGAGGGGAAGAGTCAAACCAGGATACAAAATGTATATTATTTGGAAATATCATAATGAACTCCCCTGTATAACTATCATATACTAATAAAGAAGTTTAATAATAAGAAATTCAGTTTTCCAGTCTGCGCTAGTTCCATCAAAAGTCATCAGTAGCCGCAGTAATTTCCTATTAAACAATCCTATTATAGACACTGAACAGGATAGCTGTGGGAGCAGATTCATGAGTCTTGAGAGCAGAGTTTGTCTTCTGCCAGTGGAGTTTACCTAAGAGGGAATTTTATTGTGAATTGCTTTCTATTTTGTCAGAGCTCAAGTATCACTGGGATCTCTGTCTAACCTTCATGGCTGACAGACAATCAGCTGGTCTCACCCCATCACTGCCACTGACTCAGTCACCTGCTTCAGCCATCCAAAACAACCTAGTAGCACAGGCCCTGCCTGTAGCTGCAAAAGAGGAGAGAAGTCTGCCTCTATTTGCTTGAGGCCATTGACTACTTTTTGACTCCCTGCTATGGAAGTGTATCCTTACTCTAGCAAAAGTAGTGCATGGCTCAGTTCTAACCTCACTTTTGCTGCCCATCATGAATGTGTTGGGAGCTGGCGTGAGACCCAACCCAGTTCAGAGTCATTTTTTGGATGTTTATGCCAATGCAAGTTGAATTTTAGCAGGTAACTTATAGAATGTGTCTCTATAACTACCTTTTTGTACCATTAGGAAAAGGCCCACTTGAGAATTAAGCCATTCTTTTTTTAGAGAAACAGTGTAAAGAAATGGCATACTGGAGCTGGAGGCCTGGCTCAAGTAGTAGAGTGCCTGCCTAGCGAGTACCAAGCCCTGAGTTCAAACCCAAGTCCCAACAAAGGAAAAACAAAAGACTAAAAGAAGTGGTGTGAAAGAGACTCTTAACCAGTTATACTTGAAACAAGACTCATCACTGGACTTGCTAATTGTGTTAAGAAACAAATATTTGTGCTTCACATAGCTTGAACAGGAATAGTGTAACTTGCCATAAATCCTAGCAAACAAACTATGTTTTCTTATACCAACACTGCCCCTTGCCACACACCATGCCTCTTGTTCAGATTTGACTATAGCCATGCCCCTGCTTGCTTGCCAGGGCAAATCAAGGCAGAGTCTGCTTATTCCCAAGTGCTCTTCCTGCAAAGCAGAAGGAAAATAGATAAATGTCACACATTCTATCATGTTCTGGGTGTATTAGAGGATGAGTTAGAAATTATTTTACCTCACTGACTTGGGGAATTTGGCTTCTTTTCAGTCTTCATCATTTTCCTTCATCTCTATAAGTACAGCAGGGTGGTTGAAATAGATGAGGGAGTTTCCTGAACCAAAGGAGAAATGGCTATGTTCTAGATGAACAAGGCCCATCTAGATCAGAAAGCCTTTTGTTAGTTCAGGAAGTACAATCACCATGAGTGTTTGGACTAGACGACCCTTCCGCCTTGTGGGAAAAGATGAGAAGCAAAGGTTCAGAAGGAGGAATTGAAGATTAGAATAAGAGGCACTAAGTAGTCTTCCTGAAGTACTGGTGCAGATGTCTGAGACAGAATGCAGAGAAGATCTGAGAAATCAAGAGCATCTAATCCCTCAAGTGGGAGCACAAAGGGAGGCCCATGGGAGAAGTGTATGGGAAGTTGTTGGTTCTGTGTAGTTACTGCCTCCATGGATCTGCAGCTAAGCTTCTGGTAGTGGATATGGAACCTCTGTTAAGCAATATGGCTAGCAGCTGGGATGATGACTTGGACAGTGAGCATTGGAACCTGCTGGGCATCTTTGTCATTCTTCCTGATTGCAAAGACCTTTGGAGAACAATATCCCCTACTTCACTTCTGTTCTCTAAACCCCATGTTCTTTCAGTCAATATTAACCTAGAACCATTCAGGACAAAAATTATGGAAAATATGTTTCTAGCTTGACCACATGTTAGAACAAGTAGGCATAAGGTCCATCCCCAGGTGGTGATTCCAGGATAAACTACAAATGAGCTAATAAAAGGTAAAAAGGTATAGTTGGCACAGCTTAGCCTTCAAGAAGTAATCCAGGCAGCTATACATAGTAATGCTTTCTCTGTAGCTTCTTACTCTTAGGCCCTTTTTTATAGATCTCTTATTTAAACTGACTACACAGAAAGGAGTTCCTGACCCTGTCTGTGACCCTATTTTGTCCCTAACATCCGTTGCCTCTTCCTACCAAATTGTTCAGCAGTGATATTTATCTAAGTAGACCATATTCCTGTTGCTCCTAATTATTTTGACAGAACATGGGAAGGCCCATGACTGTTGCCAGGTCAGGTTTCTGACTAAGCCCAGCTCTCCAGCAGCCATCCTTGCCTCTATTGCCTTAGCCTCTGGGGAGGTCTGGCTTTCTTTGTGTTTGCCAAATGAGTGTACCAACTTCTCTGACTTGAAACCCTGATATTATTAGTGATTTTTTTTGTAGTTAGCAGAATTCTCACTTACTGAAGGGTTTATCTTGGATATGAATATGAACTAAATAAATTTATTTGAAGAGTGTGAGGAACTGAAGAAAGCATATGGATTTGGTGCTAATGGAGCTGCTTTTACAAATGCATTGTGGTAGGCAGGTAAAGCAACAATAAGAAAAGCCAAACAAATGGAACCATACTGAATCTGGCCCTAGACTCACCCTCGAGGTTAGGATATGAGTGAGAATTCAGAGATGGGATTAGCCTTCTAATAACCAAGGCTCAGCTAGGGAGGCAAAGCATGACATCCTGCTATCCTGACAAGAATTTTGTACCTTCTCCACACATATTATTCAAGCTAGACAAGGACTGGATTTGCATCCCACGTCTAGCTTTTATTAGCATTGTGACTTTGGACACATCATATAACCTCTCTGAGCCTCAGTTTCTTTATCTATAAAATGAGATGAAGAATTCCTATCTCGTAGTGTTGTTGTAAGCATTCAGTATTAGAACCAAAGCATCTGAAACCCTAGGTACACAGTACTTTGTGAAACCCTTACTACCCTGTTAAATTCTAGAGCTAGTCCCTACTGGTGCAACTACTGAATCTTTTACACTAGATGTAAGCAGACTTCTTCCAAATGCTGTAGCAAGAGGAAGCTGGCAACCGTTAGTTCTGGCAGGTCTCTTGATTGTACAAGCTTGTTTTTGTTGAATGTACAGGGATTAGACTAAAAGAAACTGCCTTTAGTGGAACAAATCCAGAAGAACTCAAAGCCCCAGTTTTGACATGAACACTTATGATCTCATCTGAATTAACAAACCACAGTCTGATGACTGAAGGAGTTGGAGTTTGGGGTGCTCTCATCGACAAATCTCATCCATAATCATAGTGTTTCTTTCCACATAAGGATGGCCTACCAGATTAGTTCCTGATGACATCATGGCACCGCAGTCCAGCCCTAGGTGGTTACTTCAGGACTTTTTTTGGCACTTGGTTAAACCACAGCTTTCTGCATTTCGATTACTAGCAACTGAACACAAATCCTATCTAGACTTCATAGAGCTGGGATCCTATTCTCAATTCTCCTGTAAGAGCATTGTGCAGCTGAATTCTCCCACATGGGAGAAATAACTTTGCAATTGAGGTAATATTTGGGTCTTAGAGGCCTGGAAGGAAGCAGGACCTCCTTAACACAGGAGGACCGTGTGCCTGCAGACATTTGATGATTGGGATTGATAGCAGTGCAGTTTTATTAATGTCTTTTACTACTTCTTGGTGTCATTATCATTGAATTTTAAACTGTTAGCCTTAGCAGTTCACATTCAATAAGAATTACTATAGCTTGGTATTTCACATGCTTCTTTTATGTTTTTTTTGTAACAATATTAGGAGGTAGGCCATAATTATTTTAATATTTTGTATATGTGTGTATATATATAAAACACCAAGTACTAGGCATTTTATTAATCTATATGTACTCTGCATAGCACTCCTATGAGGTAGTTCTTAGCAATATCAGCACCATCCACATTTTTCAGGATAGGAAATTTAGATATGGAGTTAGGTAGCTTGTCTGAGCTTCCAATAAGAGACAACACCTGGATTCAGACTCAGGCAGTCTGTTTCCAGAGTTCATACTTTAGCCATTAGACTGACTATACTGCCTGCAGGTTTTAAGTGAGGAAGCCAAGACTTAGGAAGAGAGTTGTCCAGGTACTCTGGACATTAATTGTGCAATTAATACATGGGACCACTATTCTAACTCAGGTTTTTGTATTCTAAAGTTCATATCCTTTCTTACTATTCCATGCTTCTTCCACCAGTTACAAGGTTTGAACTTGGACAAGTCATTTGGTTTGCTCAGCCTCATTTTCTACATATACAATGAAGGTAATAATGTCTACTTCATAATTAATTACATAATTCATTCCCTAGCACATAGTAAATGCCCAATAAATGTTGACTTATTAACTCATAAATAGATTTCTTAGATCTCTTTATTCTTAGAGCTTGATAAGCCAAGCTTCATAAGAACATGTTAAACTTGGAAAGCATAATGTACACAAAAGCATAAACTGATGCTTTTACATAATTTCTGTTTCTAAAATCTTGATAATTGGGTTTTGATTTGGTTAGCTTTTGAGCTAGATAGTTGTTCTGCGGAAATACTTCTTTTAAAGGGCAAAGAAATTGTTATGTAGATTTTCAAAAGCCCACTTCATTTAAAGCTCTTTTTTTCACATGGACCTTCTTTTTCCTTTTTTAAAATTATCATATTACTGTGTTCTGGGGGTGCATTGTGACATTTACAAATGTTCTTACAATATATCATAGTTGAATTCACCCCTTCCATCATTCTCCTTTATCCCTCTTCCCCTCATTACTAGAATAGTCTCAACAGGTCTCATTGCCATTTTCATACATGAGTACATAATATCTCCACCATATCCACCCTCCTGCACCTTTTCCTTATATTTTCCCCTTTCCAGCACTATGAACCCCCAGACAGGACCTGTTTTACCTTTCTGTGATCTGTTTTGGAAAAGAGGCATTTTTGTTTAAGATAGCCATACAGGGAGTTTCATTGTGACTTTTCCATGCATTATAACCTGAATTGGTTTATCCCCTCTACCATTTAAGGCTCTTTAAAAATATTTAGGTATTCATGATCTATGGTATTTTAAAATAAATTGTTTTCTTTCCATATCAAAATTGTAAGGTAAGTTAATGTCAGAATATTCTATTTTCTCATTCTAAAACAGGGCCTGCTGACGATTTGACCTGTTTTTCCCATGTTTATTGAGGTTTTCATTGACAGAATCAATGGAATTCATCAAGTTAAATGGTAGGGCTCTTTCCTTTTTCCCTCTGAATAAAATTCTGTATACTTGTCAGACTTTAAAGATGTGATAGAGGTGGAGTAAATATGCCTGGATGATAGTGTTCTTGGGAATGAAAGGTCTAGACAGTCAAAAGGAAATGCAAAAGTACTGATTGCAGAGTAGATACAGATATTTTAATAATGTAGGGATTAGGTGGAAACGGATCAACAGAACAAGAATGTTAGTGGATTTTGGAGGATGGTGTACATTTCAATGCATATTTGGGGTTATATGCATTACCTTTTACGTAGTTCTGTTTCTGTCAGTACCCATTTCCATCATCTCAACCTTCCATCTCTTCCATATGCTTTGACATTAGCATCTTGATCCTCACCATTTAGATCATATCAAACATTTAAATTGATTATGTCTTACCTTCAAGAAGAAATTCACAATACTTAGTTTGACATGAAAGTGCACCATTTTGTGAGCCTTATACAAGATAATATAAATTGAGTCACTAACTCAAAGAGCTTTATTGACATCTTGGTGGCCCATTCTCTAACCTTTGAGTATACAGATAAAAATCATGACCCTTGCCTTCAAAGCAGACTGTTCCTTTTGGAGGTGGATACAAATAAGCAAAATATTCACAGTGCAGTGTGGTGAGGTTATAATAGAAGCAAATGGAGGTATTGTGCCAGTTCACAGGAAGAGTGCCAACTTTTCCAGCTTAACTCCTGGTACTTCTTTACTCAAGCCTTCTGTTCTAGACTAATCTATTTGTAATTATCCTAAATGTCATGTATGTTCCTATTTCTCTGATTTAAAACACATTTTTTTCCATACTCAATCTCCACATTTTCAACCAACATGGATTGCAAATACAGTGTATGACAGGCTGTGTGTGCTGTCCAATGCTGATAGGTGAAGTAGAGGCACACTCTTACTTTCCCAGTGACCTTTGCTTTCTCTAAACCCTCCTCCTCTAAACTTGACCACGATCTCTTTCTTCTGGAGCTCCAGTGGACTTACCATTAGTCATACATCAACAATTATAGTTACTGGAGGATAATCATAATTCTAGTTCATTAATTTATCCATAGTAGCACAAATATCATGGGGAAATAGATGTTTTAGATTCTTTTAAAACTTCTGTTCTTATTCTTTTAGTTGAATGATTGTTGGTAATGCCATAAAACTCAGTCTTCTTGTCTGTAAAATGAGCAGAATGAACAAGTAATTTAAGTTCTCTTCCAAGTATATAATTATAATTAAAAATACAAAATTTTGGTCTGAATTTATTAAACTAGGTTAAATTTCTTTAAATTTATTCTATCACTCAGAGTTATCTAGAGGAAGCAGAAGGAGGCCAAGGAAGAGAATGAAGAAGAAAGCAGATGAAGAAGATAAGAAGAGAAGCAAGGGCTCTATCAGGAAGAGGGTAAAAGTTTTTCTTTGCAGAGACTATTCCTTTTTAGGGCTTCTTTCTTCCTTCTGCTCAGTCAAATCTTGTGAAAAAATCTGTATTTATTATTAACCTTTGGCATAGAATTCATATATTGAAATGCAGTCGCTGGATTGTGGAGTGTGAATTGTATCACAGATTTACTAATACCTCCAGTATATTTCTCATATAGCTGAGTGAAATAACCTAAAAAACACCCAGAGTATATCTTTATAAATATATTTCAATAAAGTTCAGTGTTAAAACCTCCCCCAGATTGGGCTTTGATCACATGATAAAGTGAGAGCACACAAGGGAGGTATAAGGATAGTAAGACACCTAAAAAACTAGATAGCATTTGTTGCCCTCCCGCAGAGAAACTAATGCAGATACTTTAAAGCAACTGAGGCCAATAGGAGAAGGGAACCAGGAACTAGAGAAAATGTTAGTTCAAGAAGAATTAACTTAGAAGTTAACACACATGCACAGGAAATCAATGTGAGTCAACTCTCTGTGTAGCTATCCTTATCTCAACTAGCAAAAACCCTTGGTCCTTCCTATTATTGCTGATACTCTCTCTTCAACAAAATTAGAGATAAGAGCAAAATAGTTTCTGCCAGGTAGCGAGGGGGTAGGTGGGGAGAGGGAGAGGGCAGGGCGGGGTGGGGGTAAGGGAGGAGATGGGGGAAAGGGGGGAGAAATGACACAAAATTGTATGCATATATGAATAAAATAAAAAAATTAAAAAAAACCTCCCCCAACAAGCAACATTCCCTAGGTTCTCAAGTATTTCTGATAGTATAATCAAAGTATCATGAAGCAATTTTACTATTTTGGTCATGGCCTTATTTGAAAATCACGAAAGCTATGGAGGAGGTTCTCTTAAGAAAGGATCCAATGGTATGAAATTTTAGAAGGTTTGGGCTTCTTGAAGATGGTCTTCAAGGAGTCCACCTGCCAGAAAAGTTTGAAATTGCAGGAAACAGCCCTACGGACTAATCATTCATAGGTGTATTTATATATATCATAATCTTTCAAAATCATTAGTACCTGTAGCTCTTATTTTTTCCCTCTAGTGAATCAGGTGAACAGTCATGGATAGTCTCTTACAGTCATGGTTGCAAGGGTTTTTCTTTAGGGGAGAGCTCACTTGCTGGCATTTTGAAAAGCTAATCCACTGAACCCTCTTCTATAAATTTCCCTATGTAAATTTCTATAAGTTTCCCTGTGTAAATTTCTATAAATTTCACTGGAGGTCTAAGCTCTCCAATGAAATTGTTAGTCTTGTGTATTGAGTGTGTTGATAGTGGTGCGTGCTTTCTTGAACTGTCATTTCAGTAGAAGCAGCTTCATCTTATTCTCTGATGTTATGCAAAACATACCAGCCTTTCAAATTGCCTGATCCAAACCTTATTTGCCATGCATTTTCCACTCTTTGATCCTTCTCTGCATTGCTATTTATCGTATCAAAAATTTGTAGCTGAGGGGTAGGCAAACTCAATGGTGCCCAGCATTGCTTTTGACACCTGGGCTCCATAAATCAAGTCTGTCACGGGTCTGGTGTGTTTTTCTCTAACAGGATGGTGGCATGTATAACAAGAGCACTACTCTTTCTTTATTTACTGAGTCAAGTAAAGGACTGAAAGAGGTTTCTTTAAAACCATGGGCAACTTTCCTCCCTTCTCATAGCACACAGTGACTTAGTCATCGACACAAGATCCTTTGCAACATATTATTGCCTGACTTTCTGAAACTGAATTGTTGATCCCAAGTTTGTGTCCTGGTGAAGTTGGTAATTGAAGACACTAGACCAGATGTTAAGAGTAGAACAAGCACAAAGTTTATTGAAAGGATAGCAAAGCTCCCTACAAGGGAGGGGCTTAGTGAAAAAGGATAAGCCAAGGAATGGCTAAAGTCTAGAAGATGATATAGGGCTCTGCCTAAGGTCCACCTATTTTACCTTGAAACTAGTTTGTGATTGGATGTCATTTTAGTTGACTTCTTGCTGAACCCAACCACGTGGCCACTCCATCCTTATCAAACTGGACTTTCCAGGAGGGTCTGCCAGCTGGTCCTGGCCTTGAGGCCCACCATTTACATTTTATAACTCCCTTCTGCTACCTTGGTGGGAGATTTGCTGTGTTACTTTCCTCTTTGGATGTTTGTTTTCAAAGATGCTTCCCTGTTTCCCTTATCTAGGAGAAAGACCTCTGTATTTTATTGTCTTGGTGAGAGGCCTGCTCTTCATGTCTCCTTAGATATTTACTTTTAAGGATACCTTCCTGTCTTTTTCAATCTAAGACAAAGTTACTTTTGCCATTTGCTCCCCTCACATTGCCTTCTTAACAATTACTGTACTTTAAATTTTACATCTCATTCCATTCATGTGATTATTTAAGTAATATCTGCCTTCCCGTTATGAGTCAGAAACCATTTCTTGCCAGGTGTGGTGGCACATGCCTGTGATTCCAGCCCTCAGGAGACTGAAGCAGGAGGATCTAGAGTTTGAAGCCAGCCTTGACTACATAATTAATTCCTGTCTCAAAATTATAAAAGAAAAGAAAGTGTGTCTAGTTGGTGCCTCTTTATATTCCTAGCACCTAGCCTTGTGCCTGGAATATAGTGATAATTAATATTTACTTGATAAATTTAACCTCATTTAAGTATGTTGGGAGTTTTTGCTGTGGAATTGTTTTAAGAGGCTGTTTCCCAACAAGAGAAAAAACAACTTTCTGTATTTGCATTGAAGAGCATGAGGACATTCTTTCTTGGTCTCCCTGCTGTTTTCCTTCCTCTCTCTCCCTTTTACTCCACATAGTTCTTTTCATTAGCTTCTTTTCCCTCTTTTTAGTACAGTTGAAGCAATCACCAGAAGTTCCCTGGCACAGCTCTGCTAGTGCTGACTTGTACCTGGGGCTTGGAGGACCTCAGGACAGGTGGAGGGATGAAAGTAAACAAAGCCTTTGGTGGAACATTCACTGTATTCACTGGCTTCATCTGTGTGCATCTTGCCTGCTGTCATTGCTGGAAAAGCTTTAACTGGCTGCAATTAGCTTAGCACTGAAAATATGCACTGCTGAAAGTTTAGGACTCAAGTTTTAAGTGGGTTAATTATAATTGAGATGGTTTAAAATGAGTTGATGGTGTTAACAAAAATTGTCTATGACAGGGGTATGGGGACGGGGCTAAATTTACAAAGGACTGTAACCATCTCTTTTGTATGTTTCTACAATGTTTTAGTTTTTATTTTCCCTCACACCAAGGCTATTATTCCCTTAATGATTAAAAGAAGATACACTGTAAATATTTTTAGGTTTCATAATGAAAATGATGCTTTTAAGACATTTTAAAGAATTTATCATTACAGAGGAGATTCCAAGATGGTGACTAGAGGAAGGAAGCAGAAAGTGTGCTTCCTAAAGTAAAATCTTGGAGAGATGCTGGAGATATACCTTACAGGAAAAACCACCAAGAAGAGGCAAAACTTTGACTCCTCCACACCCCCAGCCTGTGCATAGCATCCTCACTCCACATTAAATGGAGAAACCAGGAGGGCTCCCATGCTGCCTCCAGATGGCAGCTCCCAGACTGCTTGGGAAGACGCAGACCACAAGGTGAGCTAGGTGGCATGCGGTACTCCCAGACACAACCCTGGGCCAGATCAGCATAGCCCCCTAGACAGACCGAACCCCACCCAGGAAAAAAAGAGAAACTGAATAATATACAACAACAAAAAAGACATGTAGCAAAGAAGGCGGGGCGCCCTGAGTGCTGAAGAGGAGGGGAAGGGAAATCCCTCACAGAACTATAAATAAACAAGCTGGCCAGAAAAGGCAGGAGCAGTGGCACACACCCAGCAACCAGGAGTGGGAAAGCTTGTAAAAGAGGCAGTGGGAGAAAACTCCACAGGAGAGGGGGAAAGGCCCACTTCCCATGTGAACAGTAAATAAACACGCTGGCCTGAGAAAGCTGGTGCAGTGTCACCTCCCCCAGTGTGCTTGGAAAGGGGAAAGCTTGTAGCAGTGGCAGTTGCGCCCAGGAGAACTCTAAGTAAGCAAAGCCTGAGGGTCTAGATGAGTGTTAAGTTCACTCCTGAGATCTGAATAAATAAAGCCTCCAGCAACAGCAGGCTGACAGCAGCAGGCAGGTGAGCCACAGCCTCAGATAGCCATTCACAGAACTGTCTCCAAACTTTTTTTTTTCTTTCTCTCTGCCTTTGATGAGACAACAACCGAACTACACCTGCATGCTGAAAAACTTACTAAAACTGTATTGTATTTGAACTTGGGACACTTTGTGGTGTTTTTTGTTTTTGTTTTTGTTTTTTGGTTTTTTTTTCCCCTTTGATGAGACAACGACAGAACTACTTCTGAGACACCATCTCCAGGAATGGAAGCTGAGGGACTAGCACTAAAATTATTAAGAGTGAAACTTTATTGCATTTGAACTTGGAGATTTTTTTTCAATCCTCTTTCTTCCTCTTTAATGCCTATTTAGCTTATTGTTTATTAGTACACTATCTCTCCCTGTTTATATCTTTGAAACTTTTTTGATTTGTTTGTTTTTTTACTTCTCTGTTTATTTGTTTTTCCCTTTTTCTTTGCTTTCCCTCTATCTCACCCTTCCACTCTAAATATCACCATTGTTATCATTACAAGCTAGAAAATACTTAATTGCACACAAAACATGGACAATAACAATACCAAGGGCAATGATGGCAAGAGAGAAAAAACCAGGGAAACCAGTTTTCCCACAGCAAAGTTAGTACAGGAACCAGAGGGAAATTAAGAAAACAGATACTCAGACTCAGACTCCAACAAAATGAAGATAAACTATGCCAAAGAACCCAATGAACCCACAAGAATAATCTAAAAGAAGAAATCCTACAGGTAATCAATGAGAATTTTATAGAGATGATACTGGATAGGGTCAACCAAAATGTACAGGAGACACTCAAGAAATTCCAAGACAACAAAAACAGAGAATTTGAGAAAGCAC